GATAAGATCATCATTTGCGCAAAGTGGTCCCTCGGCTTACCAGTTCACTTCACCCTAAAACTATGTTCAGTGTGCATGTGTGAGTGATGTGCATGTGAGATGCATTGATTCCGAGCGGCCAAAGTGTCTACACTGAAGTTTAAACATACATAGATACGTTTGTATACGATTGAAACAGCTAGTTAGTGATGTAGTGGTTATTTAACATTAATCGGTAACATATGCGTTACTTTCTTCATTAGTTTTCCGGCCCTACGTAAGATTATTCATTGTACAGATGTGTGCTCCTGTAGAATAGCCCCAGGCTCTTTGCGTTAAAAACATTGTGAATCAAATATCAAATGCAACTTTACTTTTCACTTGCATTTGCACATTGAGCCTGGGAGGTTTTTAATTTGGATCTGCATCCACGTACGGTAGCACTTCGTGTACGATTGAATCGATGGCGAGGAACCAAGCAAATGTTAGTGTTACTTTTAAGTTCATGGGCTAGGCCATGATATATATATATATATATATATATATATATATATGCGTAAAAAGAAAGATAAATAGATAGATAGATAAATAGATGGATAGACAGATAGAAATAAAACGTGAGGGCCAGCACAGCAGTCGCTATTATTCACATCAATCCATCAATGTTTTGTTACGATAAATATTATCAGCAGGACATTTTTTACACAAATGAGCAGTGCTACATTTAACAAACATCGCTAGGTGATATCACCTATATCCATTCTGATGTCAAGGAAGTTAATGGTCATGGTGAACACAATTCCACACGAACAGAACACTTCACTGCGCGCAAACAGGTCGGCTTGAAAAAAATATGAACCACACGGCGAAAGATCTGCAAGACACCTTGTGAAAAGGATAACTCATAATTTTCAGAGAATATGCGTGCTCTATAATATTTAATGGCCGCTTCTGTCGGTGAGCATGAAGTGATCTTAAAACTATAAGATCCAGAGAATTACGGCATGCACCTAACACGGGGAAAATATCAATGTTGAAGAGAGTGTCAGACCTAAATGAATGGTCTTGAATGGGTGAAGGGTCTGGGATGGAAAGAATGTCGCCTGTGCGGTCAGACCTCCTCAAATGCTATACTCTGCAGTGTAGGCTTTGCAAGTTTGAGCCCATGCTCAACACGTTATATCAAGGCGTATGATGCTCAACACGTTATATCACCAACATCACTCATGGCGACTTCTTTGCAATGGGCGGTATTGGTGATAGAGCCTAGCGATGATTGCCAAATGTAGCCTTCAGTGATAGCGACTGCTATCCTGTGCATTAACCTCTTACTTCTTCTGACAATGTGTGTATCTTCCACATTTGAGAAAGAGATAGAAAAGATCCATAGGATACATTACGTATACACCAAGATAGTATACGTATAGTGAGTATATATAGCGAGTATACGCATGACCTTTTTCTCTCTGTCTCCCACATTACTCGCCGCTTACTTTCCTGACTCTGTCTCCTTGTTTTCTTCGGCGCGTGTTCCTTGCTCTCTTTTACTTCGATACGGACCCTGTCTTGAGATGCCCCACACACATGGGAGTCCGGTCGCCGAACCTCTGTACAGGCCGCTGTAAATGCCCGACCCCGGCGTCATCTGCATGCAACGATCCGGCGATTTAGAGCGACAGCCGACGATTGCCCGTCGTACCGATGCTCCCCTCCCCCCTCTCTACCCCTCCCCCTGTCGAGGGGCCGGCGCGCCGGCGGTGGCGGCGGACTGCGTCTCTCGCGTCGCTTCTGCCCGAGCCCGGCCGGTCGACAGCACAGGCCGACGGTCCGTCTGGGTGGGCTCTGGGCGGCTGGCCGGGCAGGGGGGGGGGGGAGGTGACGACCGACACCCGCCGCTAATGCCCGGCTGTTTTAACAGGCGGTCACGTGACGTCGGGCCGCCTGCCAGCCCGGGTCGTCGCCCGTGTCACGTGGCCTGTCGGCGCGGGCGACGTGCTTCACTGGCGCAGCCGGCCACGTCTACGGAGCCCGCGGGCATCCGGTCCACATCGGCCTAAGTAGATAACTGACGCTGGAAATGTCGTGGAATGGCGTTGACAGTTCCCGAGGGAGGCACTCGGCACTAATCAGCTTCCAGAGAACACTTCCCTGTCGTCAGCCGCCCGCTGCGTCAACGGTAAAAGCAGCCCGACGCCCATAGGGGCGCCAAATGCAGTTAAAACAGGGGCCTCATAGATTGTAGCATATTTGTCACATTTGTTTTGCTGGATACTACCCGTGCCATTATGTGCATGATGGTCTGAACGGTCTGAATTTTTGTTTTTAATCTTTTGAATGAATCGATTTCTGGAATCTGACCTCGCGCTAGACATTGCATGTTGCGTGAGTCCTGACTCCTAACAATCGATCGTGAAATTCCAGTTCAACAGCAGAATTTTGTGGTGCAAGTTAGTCGCATCGTAATGTTCATTCCGGTATCTGATCTCTGACTTTTAGCGCGGCCGCTGCCACCGCCCGCGGGCCATCCCAGTTAAGAAACAGCGACTAGAACACATCCACCCCGTCACGATCGGGGGAGCGTCATGCAGGTGCTCTATCCAACTGAGCTATCGGGAAGGGCTAACACTGGCCAGAGATTATTACATATAATATGCGTCGTAAATGCGTTTTTGTGCGTAAATTATTGGTAGTTGTGCCAATGAGTACACCAATCAGCACGCGATCCGTCTCAAAGTAAAACAAATCTGCAAAGACCGAGGAAAATGCGCACTTACGCCGAAGAAGGAGACCGCCATTTTTGTCATTAACGACGAGTCGATAAACATACGAGAACATGGTTTGTGTTGGCTTTTGTAGTGGACAGTTTGATTTAGACGAAATGTATCGACCTAGAGATGATTTTGAGTGATGTGCACCGAAAGCAAGGCATCTCCTTTTGATACAATAAGCACCATCATTTTTGAAGGCTGCCCATTCGATCTACTTCCATCCGATTTAAGAAACTGATTTTGATTTGCCTTCTAGTGTGCTCCTGTTTCCAAGACGACTCGCTGTTACTGCTGCTGCTGCCTCTTTACACACGCTACGACCGAGCCAATCCTCATGCGGCGCGAGCAAGCACCACGTCATGCATGCTGCCGTCCAGACCTGCCCCTCCCGACATCGTTACCAGTACTTCACCATCGCTGCCTTTGGTGTTCTCCGTACGGACAGTGCCGCGCAGCGAGGCCCTAGACACCGTGGCCCGCTCTCCCCACGCCTGGGTAGGCGGGGGAGCGTTGTGGATCACTCATCTCTTGACTGGTCTTGCCCATCGTCTGGTCTCATTGCGGACCAGAACCATTGTCCGGTCCACCCCAGCTCCGCACCACCGCCCGGTCCCACCTCAGCTGCGCACCATCGTCCGGTCCTGTACCGTAGCTCCGCAGCATCGTCCGGTCCTGCACCTCAGCCCCGCACCATGGTCTGGTCCTGTACCTCAGTCCCGCGCCACCGTCCGGTCCTGCACCGTAGCTCCGCACCACCGTCTGGTCCCACCTCAGCCGCGTACCACCGTCCGGTCTCGCACCGCAGCCCCTCACCACCGCCTCGCCATCACCTCCCCGTAATGCCGTCCGGCCCCACCTCAGCATCACCGTCCGGTCCTACACCTCAGCCCATCATCACCGTCCGGTCCCACCGCAGCCGCGCACCACCGCCCGGTCCTGCACGGCAGCCCCGCACCCCCGCTCAGCCATCACCACAACCCCACCGACAGAGAGGCAGACGGACGCCGCGGGCCGCGGGGCCATTCAGCGGCGGACCGGAGAGATGGCGGTTTGAGCCACGGCCGAATGACGGACGGGTCATTATTAGATTGTCGGCCGTCTCGTTAATACGCCGCTGATGGGGTGGATCTGCACAGGCGCAGCTGAGGGCGCCGGCAAACGGCACTGCTTCCCGAGATAACGAGGGAGAGAGGGCAGCGAGGCAGCCGGAAAGAGAGAAGGGAGGTAGAGGAGTAGACACTGGGTATGGCTCAACAGAGGGTCTCCGAGACTCGAACTATCGGTAGTTACTTTGTTACTTTCTCGAACGCGTTCTCGTCAAAAATGAGTCGCCTTCCGGATCGCTCTCAATCGAAGGGCTGCGCTGCGAACGACTTTATATTGCATGCTTTACGTGACGAGCATTTGGCCCGTATTGTATTGCACGGTGAACGTTTGATTTATCTGTTCAATATTGTTGCTGCGATGCAATTTTCAGCAGGACCCGTCGGAACTTGCCAGCAAGATTGCGAGATGGACGAAAGTATGCGTTAGTCAAGCGTCATATACTTAATGCATGTTTCTCAATCGCCGCCAAAAAACATTCTTACAGAGATTCTTCCGTGAAACATCGGGCATCTGTACCACAACCTAGACACGTGTCACTGCTCAACGCATTCCTTCTCCTGCGCGCCTTCAAATACTTCTTCCTTATCCTGTAGACATGTATCACACCGTTCCATAGGCTCAACAAATATAGCACGTATTATCCATGTTTTGCGGAATATTTTAGCTGGTGCGGTTAGGCATTGAAAGATGAATAAGGTGTCAACAAATCAGAGATCTACGCGACTGCATACCACCCTCTCAAGAACATACGCATATGTAGCGTTGCCTGATAAACATCCCATAGGAGCTCACTTTTTTAAATAGCATGTCAACGATTGATATATGATTTCGGGCGCCACTGAATTTCGCCGGCATTGGAAGCTGCTTATACATGAAAACACGCGCAACAGTAAAGAGTTTTCTACTTTCCTGTGCGACTTTGCTCTAATGGCACCGCATGCCACCATTTCTTGCAATGCATCACTTTTAGATGTTTAATAATATAGGTTCGTTGTTCACGTGAAAGTTTGGGTGGTGCGCTCATTAGATCTTAGTTTTTGCAAAGAATGCGAATCACGATCATGTACTTCCTTGCCGTGATGTTTACATAATCATGGATGAAACGTTGGACGCAGCATCCGAACTAACGAGGTACAAGAAAACACCATGACCTCCCACTACAATCAGGCGGATAAAAATGTAAGTGACCACCTCTCATGAGCGGGCAGGAACCAGTGGCCAACTGAGTACCATGTAAATCGACCGCACGGCGCCTGCCTGTTTAAGTGTGACGTTCCTGAAGTCATTCGGCAGGCAGATAATGTGTTGTCCTTTACTTGATGTGCGCCTTCTATTTTTTTAAATTCTCCTGGCGCAAAATTTATTTTGTGAAGATAACTGCCTGCAGTTGTTCTACTTGCAGCTGTCTTCTTGTCATTGTTCCGAGCTGCAGCTGGCATAGAAAAAAAGTAACTTTGTCTCCTATGCGTCATTTTCTCTTCCGTGTACTGTTGTCGTTAAGCAACAGCTGGGCTAGTGGTGACATTTAATTGGTGAGCGAAGTGGTGAGATCTGCCAGCCGGCTTGACTCTTGTATTTCCAGCTGTACCATGCCATCCACTCGGACCTGGTGGGGGAACTGCTCCATCCGCCGCGGGCACCGGCCACGCCCGAACCCGTCAAACGGTTCCGGCGCTCGCACTACGCCGACCCAGGCATCCGCACATTCCACTGGGGCGTCGCCAACGACCCCAACGACAAGCCGAACCAGATTCACGGCACCAAGTTCGGCACCCGGTCGCTGGTAAGAGCTCGGTCGTGGCGCCGTCTGACGGCGCTACGGTCGTTGGTAAGGGCTCGGCCGTCGCGCCTGCTGACGGTACTACGGTCGCTGGTGCGGGCTCGGCCGTCGCGCTTGCTGACGGCACTACGGTCGCTGGTAAGGGCCCGGCCGTCGCGCCTACTGACAGCGCTACGGTCGTTGGTGAGTGCCCGGCCATCGCGCCGTCTGACGGCGCTACGGTCATTGGTAAGGGTCAGCCGTTGCGCCGTCTGACGGTGCTACGGTCATTGGTAAGGGTCAGCCGTTGCGCCGTCTGACGGTGCTACGGTCATTGGTAAGGGTCAGCCGTTGCGCCGTCTGACGGTGC